CTCTCTCTCTCTCTCTCTCTCTCTCTCTCTCTCTCTCTCTCTCTCTCCCTCTCTCCCTCTCTCCCTCTCTCCCTCTCTCCCTCTCTCCCTCTCTCCCTCTCTCCCCCTCTCTCCCCCTCTTCTTTTCTCCTCTTTTTTCTGCCATTCACATTACCCCCCCACTCATTATCTCCCCCCCCAACCCCGTCTGGGGTCACCTCGAAGGAGGACAGGGCTAACACTCTCTTTGTTCTGCACATCGCGCACAAACCCCATTCACTCTGCCGGGCATGAGGGCATGCGGGGTGGGGGATATGGAAAAGAGTGAGTGGCCCCCCTGCCCCTTTCCTCCTTAAGTGGGACTTGGATGGAACTCCCTGGCTCAGTGGCACCCCGAGAAGTAGCAGGGACCCAGGCTGAGCCCGCCCTGCTCCCTTCTAGGGCTCACCCCCTCTCTCTCTGAGCGCTCCAGAGTGAGAGATTGTGAGGATGAGAATGGAGGGGGATGAGGTAGTGAGGAAGCTAAGAGAGGGACGGCCTTTCTCTACCCCCCTTCCCCACCCCCCACCCCAGATGTGGCCAGTGGTAGTTCCACTGAAAGGAAGCGCATTCCAGAGGGAACCGGCGCCAAAACCAGGAACCCCGTTCCCAGCCGGTCCAGGTTCCCCGGCCATTCTCCATGCAAAACAGACTCGGGACTCATCTTCTGCACTGTTTTTCTTGTCCAGGAACAGGACTGTGTTTTTGTTTGAACATTTTGTAACGATTAAGAGAGATTAGGTCTTTTCTCCCCTCCCCCTTCCGCTGTCAGCCTCAAACAGGCATAAAGTGCGACCCCAAGTGGCCGCTTTGGGGAAAAGCCGTGGGGAGAAAAAAGTGCTGGAGAGGATGGTAGCGGAAGGGACCAGGGCACCCTGCTGGCGAAAGGTACGGGCACCAAAACCCAGTTAGGAGGCTAAGAGTGGAGCCCGTCAGCCCACAGAGACGGCGTAGCCCACAGGCCCCGGCCCCCTCCGTTTTTTCCTAAATGTCATCAGAGAGTCCTTCCCAGAGCCATCTGTCCATGCGGCCCTCCACCTGAGCGAGCGCCGGCTACTTTTACTTTCCCACACTTTTGGGATGTTTTGTTGCGAGCTGCTCAGGCTGAGATACAGACCGCCCTCCAATCCCCTTAAGAAAACCACTCAGCACCCCAGCTCTCCTTCAAGGACTCCTTCACATCAATACTCTTTGCCCATTGCTTGGAGTTCTTGCCTCTTTTAACCTTTTTGCCTTAATTGCTAATCCGATTTCCCCGCAGAAAAGTAGCCTCTCACTTCCAAAGGGGCCCACTACAGTCTAAGAGAGCTAGAGAAAGGCTTAGCCACGAGTAAACTCTCAGTTTTCAACCTGCTCACCCTACTGGCCCTCGGTACCCAGATTCCCTCTTCTTTGCACACCTCGGCCTGATTTATTCAGGAGACTCCAGCGCCCTAGGCGCAAAGACTTGGGAGAAATGCGCAATTCCATCCAGAGCCAAGGACCTGGGCGAGTTCACTCCCTCCATCCCCGAGAAGTCTGTCAGCAGTCAACGAGTCCTGAGCAAACGTGTGCGTGTCATACAATGTGTCCGAAGCAGTATGCACAATGTGGACTGGACAAATGCGTGTCAGACGAGCTCGGAGCGAGTGTGTCATGTACACAAGGTGAAAATATGCGTCAGACAACCTGTACGGAGAGTGTGTAACAGGCCGAGTGTACAGAACGGGTGTGCATCACAACGTGTAAAGGGTGAGTGTGTTTCAGACAATGCGTCCTGAGTGAACATGCATTACAGAGGGTACAAAGCGAGTGTGTTTTAGGTAAGGGAAAATGTGTAATCATAATTCGTTCGGAGCGAGCACATACGTAACTGTGTACAGAGTGGACGTCAAACGAAATGTACAGAGTGAGAGTGTCAGACCAAGTGTCTGAATGTGGACCCGCAGAAGAATCTGTGATAAGTTGCAAAATTCCATCGTATCATGAAGTTACACAGCGATGGATATACGAAGTGCCATGTCTTTAGCATAGTTCTTGCAGAAGAAATGAAGTGTGGTGGGGAATCTGGGGGTGTGCACTATAAGCGAAATGGTCAATTGGCCCTGAAAAGTTCTGGATCGATATCTTGGTTATTGCGAGAGATCGTACGGTGCTCTCTTCCAAAACCCGTTCTTCATGCAGAAATTTTTGTCTCGCTTTGCTTCTAATACTTCCCAACTAAGAGATAAAAGCTTGTGCTAGACAAAAGCCCTCCAAGCGCCCGCTGGGCGATGCTGTGGGCAGAATGCACCCACAGCCCCACAGCTATGACCCACGCCCTGCAGCTGTACAGGAAAGTCCCGCATATCCCGAGTTTGTTCTGTTGCGGGGTCAGGTCCACATCTCCCCAACCCCGAGACCATCAAACCTTTTTGCAGTCCGCTCTCTAGTTTCAGGGAGCTTCGGCTCTGCAGCCACTGTCCTCTGCATCAGAGGTTTTCGGACAGAAGAGTAGAGCCTAGGGACTGGGTCCGCAGAGAGTTACAGGCTGTCGAGGCCTCAGGCCCGCGTGCGGCCTCAAGTTCCACGTCTTTGGGCTGCAGGGAGGCCTGGACTGTTCGACCTCTGTGCCCCAATGAGACACAAACAGGCCACTTTCCCTACTTTAAGAAGAGATAACCCTGCTGCTCCTTCCATAGAGGAACTTCGGGTCCTCTGTTAACAGAAACTAGTTACCCTTCGCAGGGCGACCGCCTGTATCTACCCCCCAGAGAAGCTGGAGACTGGATACTTAGCCTTCATTTCTATCGCACTGCACTGGAAACCCACTAACCCAGAGCTGATCTTCCCCGTCCCGGTCCAGTCTCAGCCTGATGACCCAAAACCCCAGTGTTCCGACTGTTGCTATCCCCCTAATCAGTGCTTGGTCGGACAATTTTATACTCCTTCCCTTTCCCCTTTCTCACACTGTCCTTCTTGCCCTTTGCCTTCTACCCAACCACGAAAGCGAGACTGTTTTGCCCGTCCCAAAACCAGCGACTTTAAGCGGTGCGCCGATTGTGCAGGTCTCAGCCAGAGCGCAGCAGTCACGGGGTACTGGATTAGGCTTTATTTTGTCTTTATACTGGTCACCAATGCTTAATCAAGGTATGTCTGAAAAATTGGAAAGAAATCAGACATTGTCTCCCTCACAATTTCTGCAATACGTACACCTTCGAGAGAGCGCGCGCGCACACACACACACACACACACACGCACAAGTACACGCCCTAGCCCCTTGGAGAATTCAGTCCTTGTCCTGAGGGACGATGGAATAATCATGCCTACAGCCTAGACAGCAAGGTCTCAGTTCTGTACTGTCGGTAGGCACACTCAGAAGGTTGGGGGGAGAGAGAGAGCTTCAAGCAGACTAGAATCTTAATTTCAATCAACTATGGATTTCAAGTTAAATGCTCTGTCCATATGCCTCTTTCCAGAGGCTGTCCTCATTCAAAAAAAAAAAAGTGTCACGTATCACCCCACTCCTAGACTCGTCTTTCCATGTATCCCAGCTGCAGCTCTTACCCCAGGGATGCTTCTCTATGCTACTCAAGGTCTCAGAATTGCCTTTTTCCTTTTTTCGTCTTTGCAGATGCCAGAATGCACAATTCCGAGGGGGGAGGGGGGGGAGAGAGGGAGAGAGGGGGAGAGAGAGGGAGAGAGAGGGAGAGAGAGAGAGAGAGAATATCGGAATAGTAAAAGAAAACAGGAGACAAGGAGAGACAGAAAGACAGAAGAGGAAAACCTTCGTTCGGGGACAAATGGGGTGGAGAGAGAGGCGTCTCCATCTTTGGTAACCCCAGACCTCCCGTAGACAACTGTTAGACACATTTTTCTGCTAGTACTACCCCCCTTCCCTAGCCTGCTCCAAGCCCCACAAAATCCTTACGGTGTAAATGTGTTTCACTAGGACGTCCAAATAGTTTCCAGAGTGGGCATGAGTTTGCTGCTGATTCCTGATCCTCTTTTCATTTTTTAAACGCAAGTTTTACAGGTTCATTTCCAACAGGGATCGAGTTTGCTCAAATTAGCTCCCTGCTCTCAGCCTCCCCTTTTCCGGGGTCTTTCTTCCTAGAGCCTGAGAGGAAAGAGTTGCAGCCTTGTTACAGTTAGAATCCTTGTAATACCGCGGCGGGTGAGAAGTCTTGCAGCCAGAGATCGCTACAGAAGACTACATCGGGAAGAAAGGAATGCACTCCTGTCTGTCCTGTCCATCTACCTATCCCTGTCCCTATACTACCTCGGCAGAAAGAGCACTGAACTAGCACTCATTAGCCCCAAGCTCGAGCTACGGTTGTGTTTTTGTTTTTTTTCTGCTTGGCTAGTAAGTCTTTTCTTAGTCTCATTTTCTTATCTATAACATGGGCACACTAACATTTGCTCCTGAGATTGTTGGGAGGAAAGAGCTTCGGAAATCCTAAAGCACTAAAGGGATGGTAGCTGTTATATTATTATTGTTTCTGTCCGGGGCCCTGCTCCCTACCAGAAGGTCCTAACAGAGGACGCTGCTCTGCCCTCCCCGACCTTCAGTTTCTGCGACTCAGAGACAGGAAGCAAAACACTAAGGGCCCCCAGGGCCCAATATGCCCACACCCATCCACCCGCCCCAGTCCGTATTGCACACAGGTAGAATATCCGAAACAAAGCTGTTCTCTCGGTTCAGAACGCAGGTGCGCTCTCTGCTAGATGGGGAGGAAGTTAGTAAGATCACAGGGACGACCGAATGGGAAGCAGGGCAGGAGATTATCTGTTCCCTTCTGGAGATCCAAGGGCTACGTTCTTGCCTAAGCCCTCGTTAGCTCTCTTGCCCGTGGCTGTAGGGAGAACCCTGTGAGCCCCCTAAGGAAAGTGCTAGGGTTGATCTCACGGGATGGCCTGACATTAATGGGAGGGTAATGAAAGAGACATCTAAGGCCTATATTCGACTTTGGGCTAAGGTCGCCTGTATTTTTTATGCCTGAATGTTGACTCCGTGCCTTAGTATGCCTGGGTAAATTCTTTGAGTGTGTACATGTGTCAGTGAGTGCTTATATCTGTGAATATCTCTGAGTATGTGTCCACAAATCTGTGCGTCTCTGAATGCATCTATTACTATAGATATGGGTATCTATGGTGATTATGTGTGTCGGTGACTGAATGTGCTCCCTCATCTTTCAGTGTCTGTGGTTTGTCTTTGAGTATTTATTTGTGTTCTCAAGAATGTATCTGTGAGTATATGACTGAGTATATCTCTAAGATGTGTAGCGGAAGGTTTTATGAGAAATGTATGAAAGTGTGAGTATGTTTAAGCAAAAATGGACCATGACCCCTGACCGAAGGCAAAATTTTTCCACCACCTCCTCCCCAGCACACTATTCATATGCTGACAATGCTGTCAAAGGCAGATGGTCTCTGACCCCTCCATCTCTAGCATGCCTGCAAGTAGCCTCCTAAGCCAGAGCTGAAACTAAGCTGAGCCTGGTGGGATTGGACTGCCTGGATTCCCATGCTGAAAGGTCTTATGCCTCAGCCCTCTCCCCAACCTCTGTGTGTGTGTGTGTGTGTGTGTGTGTGTGTGTGTGTGTGTGTGTGT